TCATAATGTAACTCATGTATGTCCCAGGAATATGCATGTACATCACATGAATGTTCCAGGTATATTCTGGGAATATCATTTTGCTATGTGGGTTTCTTTAACCATCTTTGAATCTAAAATTCGCTTTCATTAAAAAAAAGACTAACTCAAACAGCACAGATACGTACTTAGTACGTTTTAAGTACGTACATCTTGTTCGAAATGTACGTAACCTACACGTACCAAATAGGGCATGTTGTTACATAGTGCGTAAAACGTCCAATGAAAGCTAAGATTGTTATAGAGGGGAAAATTTCCGAGCAATTCTCAGACACCCAATATTCCAAGCTCTACAAAAAAAAAAGAAATAAAATATTTCGGTTCCGGCTCAGCCCTTAACAGTGTTAAGATAAAATATGGGTTCAGTACCGGTTCCGGGCCATAAAAAAACGGTTCCGTCCGGTTTTTGGTCCATGTTAGTTCCAGTCCGCGTCACTAGAAATTTCTAAGTTTGTGCCTAAACACGGAATCTACATGTCTGACGAGAGTTTTAGAAAGAGCAAAAAAGTTTTAAACAAAATCAGCTAGTAGCAGAAAAAAAATTAAATTGTTTGTACAGGGGGTAATAAAAATACAAACACTTATTAACGAACCCAATATTATTTTAAATGTTTCCACGCACTACAAAAAGATCACGTTTGCTCAGATCCTATACTTTTCGGTTAAGGAATTTGTGGTTTAGCATTTTTAGGGACCCTGTATATGTGGGAAAAATTAAGTAACTATTTTAAACTTAAGTATTTATTAGTTTTATCCCGTATTGTTTTGGTATCTTAAAATGAAGGTTGACAACCGTGCCACAGTAGTGAAAATTATACAAATTATATAAAAATTGCTGGAAAATGGAAAATATCTTTGAAAAATTGAATGAGTGGTGCAACATCTACACCCTTGGATATACCAATATATCTGATTGTTCACCTGACAGTTGACGGCTGTTTAGTTCTGTTTATTTTACTTGTTCTTATGAAAAAATGAAGATGGCTGAAGGAACTACAATTTTGCGAAGAAACAGACCAGGAACAAAGGCAAAGGTACATTTAACATACGATTTATTTGAAAATTAACACTGCTAGTTCGTTGCGCCAATTTGCCTGGTTATACTTTAGCTCCAACAATCGATTTCCAGTCATGTTCATGCATGAACACTTTAGAATTAGTCAGTGAGTAAGACCATTCAGTCTAATGCATTAAATGTTTAGGACTTCTGCCGTTGGCCAGATGAGCCTCTGGAGAAGATGGAGAGTACTCTGGTTATCCCACAGTACATTCAACAGCTCATTCGCAAAGATCCTTCCAACATTGATTCGATTCTCAAGATTCCTGAAAACTATGAGCAGGGCGTCTGGAAGTATGAGCATTTACGGTAAGTGTTTCTCAAATGTTAGCATTGCTGATTTATGTACAGAAGTTGAGGCATTGTTCAGTTCACCCATAGTTAGTTAAGTGCTAGATATGCCAGATACTGCGGCTATGTGGAGATTTTAAATGTGTAATTCAACGAACAAAATACATTCAGTTTTATTGTGAATTAATTTAAAACTGTTAGAAAGAGATCGTTTGTTGAATTTTTTGGAACATCGGTTTATTTGACTGATCATTCACATTCCTATACTTACTTCGATTCAAATTTTTGTAAGCTTCATGTAGGTTGAAAGAATTGCAGATATTTTCCTAAAGAAATCGGGATAGTCGAACTTTTGTAGCAGGAATCACTTGTTGCAATTACGTTTAAGTTAGAAAAATCGATTTTGCACGACATTCCAACAAACGATCCTGTCAATTAAACACAATTATTGCTTGAACAAACAAGTCGACAAATATCTCTGCAGCTCATTTGTCCTCAATCTCAGAGTCTGCAGTATAATATCAGTGACATTATGGCCCAACGCAATCTATGGGGTGAAAGGAGCAAATGTTTTCGTTTAAAAATATAGACTTCGTTGGTAGTTGCAGCGTCGTCACGACCTGGGCATCTCAAAACTGTATTCATAGGCTCGAAGTCTCAGATTTTAGTAATTTGCATATCGACCCTTAAGTGGGCTGATTGTGAGGTGAAGAGTGTGGGAAAGGTTATCAAAATCATAATTTTCCGTCCAAATTCGGAAACAGTTTAAGAGTTTCTTTTCAAAATTGCGTCACCCGAAACAGCGTTCTAAAGATGAAGAAGATAGGAAGCCAGTGAAACGAATTTTCTGGACAACATTTTTGAACAGTTGAAAGAATTTCTTACTTTAAGGCAAGCTTTGTTGCGCTAATCGTGCAAAACGTATCTCGAAATACTGCATTACTGTTTGTTCAATTTTCTTCCCCTGCTGTGTGCAATATTAAGAAAACGTTCTTTAAAATTGAAGTGAAATTAATTGCTTTCAAGACATCGCTGGTTGTATAAGCTGTATAATATTTAGAAGCTATCGAAATTCAAATTTTGATTTAGCCACTGTTAAAAATCGAATTGAACACTTCAGACAATTTTGCATGGAACTGAATGGTCTGGCTGTAAGACTACAGGGCGAATGCCATCCAGATACCTGCACTCAAATGACTGCCACAGAACAATGGATATTTTTATGTGCTGCGCATAAAACTCCTAAAGAATGTCCTGCAATAGATTACACCCGGCATACATTGGACGGAGCTGCATGCTTGCTGAATAGCAATAAATATTTTCCAAGCAGGTAAATAGCGTGAAATACATACATTTATTTGGTTTCCAAAACGTAAGTTTATGTAGAAATTATTTGTAGTATAAACATGTTTCATAAATTGACTTGTTTACTGAAATTAAAATATTGACATATTTTTTTATATTTACATATTGAAATATTAAGAAACTTTCATGTTTCATGCTGATTATCTCAAAACCGTTGCAAACGTACTAAACCATTTTGCTGCTGACTGCATAATAATCGGTCGGTTAAGTGTTATTTTTTCTAATCAGTACACGTGAGATAAAACATTAGCTCTCATGGCTAGACTTGAACTTAGAGCTAAGCGTAATCAACAGCTTGCAACTCAAATACGATTACTTTTTTTATATTAAAAATAACAATTTACTAATAGTATTTGTAAAGCATTGATGGCGATTTAACTTTGTAGAGTTTCCATTAAAGCTACGTCCGTAGACAAGCTTGGTTCAGTCTGCCGGCGTGTTTACCGAATATTTTCACACGCTTACTTCCACCACAGGCAAATATTTGATGAGTTTGAAAACGAGACGCATTTGTGCAAAAGATTCACCCAATTTGTAACCATATACAACTTGATGTCCAAGGACAATCTCATTGTGCCGATTCTGGAAGAAGATAGCACTCCTGGCGAGTCTGAAGCATAATACATACAAACATATTTTTAATCCTTCTGGATGTTATAGTTACAGAGAATCTCATTTTTCATGTATAAAGCACCTTCATGTTTTTCATGAGGAATAATATAAAAGAAGATTGTTGTTGAATGGCTTATCATCTTTACCATGTAATATTCCATAAAACTCAAATCTAAAACATTTATCTGTACACATGTATAATTCCATTCATTTAAATCTTCCGTGAGTCTAAATACAGATGTCGTATTTATCACCGCTCTTAACTAAATCCAGTTATATTTCAGTGTTGATACTTAAAGAGGTATTAAAAAATACGGCTCTGGAACGATAAGGCAAACAGATTGTTAAAACATCCGTCGATAATCACTTACATTCTAATATTTTTGAATAACTTAAATTTGAAATTAATCTTTTGAAAATAAATATGTGAGAATGTATACGCAACAGTCTATTAAACCAAAATATTTGAAAACATGTCGAACTAAGTCCAAATACGTTTTGGAAATATTGATTTTCCAAAAAATATTGAGCAAATTTTCGACATCAGCAATACTCGTTTCATCAAAATTTATGCAAACCACTGCTTCAGTTTTGCTCAAAATAAGGTTTTACGTCGAATTAGCTGGTGTATAGAGCTGATTCTGTTCAGAATCATCGTATATGAATTAGTTATACATTTCCCTTTTCTGATAGTTTTAAGCAAGTCCCGAATATTTAGATACGTGATCCATTGGAAAATGTATTATCAAAAATGCAAGGGATTAAATTATTTACCCTTCATATTGTTTTTCATTCTATATTTTGTAACTCTTTCCATTTTTGTTTAAGTTGATTCAACTTTTCGCGTTTTTGCTCATTGCAGCCTCGCTTTTTGTTTTCCAATCGTTTAATCTGAGCTTCTACACTATTTTCCCCATTAATTGTGTTGTCAAGTTTTGTTATTAGATGTAGCCTGGCTATCTTCTTATTCTGTAGTACTGACCTTGTTTCTTGGCATTTTACTACAATTCCTAAAGCAAAAGTCTACTTTAGTTAGAGGTTCTCAATTAGATATTACAGTTTCGAAATGACGAAATAATTTCGCGCATTATTTCACAAGTATTAAAAATAGCGGATTTACAAAAAACTATACTGTCGATTAAGTGAATTAATAAATCAACGCAATAGGGAAGAATCTTCGGTTACTTCACTTATGGAATATTGACATTTACTGTTAGTGCACTGAACCGGTTTTCAGCAACGTTAAAAGCCATTTTATGGATATTTGCGTTGGTTAAACGCGCAACCCCTAAATCTGTTTATGTTATCTGTTACATTATTCTTTAGAATATTGGAAGTCTTAGAATTTGTCGGAAGTATATTCGATGTTCTTGTGCAAAATTAATGATTTAATTAATTTGGCTATAAACAACTTTAGTTCTTTTAAGCCTTATTCATTTTTTTCACTGGATTAATTCCATGGTTTCTTAGCTCAAGTGTTCAATTTTAAAAGATGCTATCAACGGCTATGCAGATCCGGCTGCATCATTGCCCCGATACTCTTGCTGAAACAACACAGTATTTAAGTAAAAATATTTTTAAATCGTTTATTTAATCGAACATCTTATGTAGTTTTATTTTCGGGTTTGCTGTAGTTTGCAGTGCCGGGCTGAAGATTTTTTTGTGATCCAAAATTACTTTGGCACCTCAATTCTTCCCTCAATTCCTCATTTATTGAACAAGAAGATACTTGTATTCAGAATGCTGCATTTTTATTTACCATTTTTCATTTTTTCTGACTGATTGGTGATCTGATAATTGGTGCAAATCAAAAATTCAAGCACTTGAGATTTATATTGAAAACAATTTGATTGAACTTGAAAAATAGATAGGTTTATTTGAACGCTATCTTATATTATGAACCAATTAAGTCGAATTAGTTGGTTATAAATGTCTTACCAGTTGGAATATGTTTCAAGACTATGCAGCTAGAGGTTTTGTTGACTTTTTGCCCACCAGGTCCAGATCCCTTGACCTGTTTTTCTTCTAAATCTTGTTCATTTAGAGCTGGCACTTGCGAATAGTCTATATGTTTTTTAGAGCTTAACAACCTAAAATTAACACTACAAACAACTAGCCTAAGTCGTTGAAACATTATTGCACTGTTCGTCTGAGGAGTAGAATAATACCCTTCTGAAAGACAAAGATATTTGTAATAGACAAATAATGCTTTGAATCTGAAAACTATTTTATTATCTTATTACCTCAAATTTGAAATTTACATCAGCTTCATCGGTGATATTCTTGTGGGTTTTAAATTCTTTTCTGATGCGTCTGAAGAAATAAGTTTTGTCAGTATATTTCAGCTGTTCGCCGTATCTTAAAAGATTTTTATAGAGCTTTAAAATCTCCCTTTGGGTAGGCAGAGACATGATTCACATTGAGGTTAAGTCCACAATGTTACTGACATCGACATACTATCCTAATCTGTTTAGCATGAAGTTCGAAAAATAAGAAGAAATATTAAAAAAATTAAGACATTTTTAGATTTTCCATAATGTAAGCTTCGTATTCTCATAA